TTGTTTCTACTAGCTTCTTGTTACTACTAGTAAGGCACCTGTTCCTAATAGCGATGCACTTGTTACTAGTAGCTTCTTGTTACGTTCTTTTTCGAAAGCTTGAAGACCATTTTGACATAGTTTGATTGATGTAATTTGCGAGCTCTTCAGCACTTCTGTGCAGACCGTACCGCAAGCGGGTTCGAGCAGCTAGACCTAGATTGGGTTACATTAGATTGCACCAATTGGGCAGCCATTGGTCGCGGAAGCTGGGTGCTTACTACTAGTAGCTTCTTGCTCCGTTTGTAGCGATGCCCTTTGTTCCTAATAGCGTCCTCTTAGTCCTCTTGTTTCTTTGAAAGACCAGTTGTCACTTCCAAGGACACTGTCTTTGCATATCCTCAGCCATTGTATGAATATCCTCAGCCATTGTATTCTCTAGCTTTCTTTGGAATATCCTCAGCCATTGTATGCCACGCTTGGTTTGTGGGTTCGCCCCTCACCACCACACGCCATTGGATTCAGATACACTACATCACTGGATTCTGGATAAGCTTTTGGGATGGCATTTCAGGCCAGGAATGTCCCATTCGCCAATACCCACGGAATGTCGTTGGGATTTTGCGGCCATTGCACCGAGCGATGCTGAGGTTGGAGTTGGGTGATTTTTACCTGATCAGGCGCATATGTCAGGTGCTGTTGCTTCATTTCACAGCAGTAGAATTGGCAAGATAGACTCCGGTCCCAATTTGTTGGTTCTTCAATTATTAGTTACAACGCGAGAAACCTCAATCAGAACAGCTGCTTTGGTTTGAAGTAGTCGATGCCCATACATCATGTTGGTGATAGTCTGATAGTAGTAGAAGCCAAATTAGATCGTGCTGGACGAAATGCATTTGCTCAATTTGCACAACCTAACTGTGAAGGAGATCCCTGCATTGGAGTTGGCACCAATTGCCGTGCACGAAATCGTGATCGAAGTCTTGTTTGGCGCCTTAGATGTGCGGATGAAGCATGCCAAGCTTTGATTGTCAATCGAGGAGAAAAGAGGAAGACAGGTCTTAAAAAATAGGAAGAACGGTTTAGAGAGAAACATATAGTAGCAACTAAGAAAGGTCTACATAAATAACAAGACAAAAAGAACAGGCAGAAAGATATATCAAAAGGCAAAGGAAGAGATGAGACAGTTCCAAAGAAGAAACGGAAGAGGGAAGAGAAAGAAAGCTAGGTCAAAAGAAAAACGGAAAAAGGAACACGAAGAAGACAGGTCTAAAGAAGAAAAAACGGAAACAAAGAATCGAGGAAGGTTATCCATACATAAGACACTGCTGGTAGGACGCAGAAGACTCCTCCGCCTGCTCGAAACGTTTCCTAGATCTATATTCGCAACTATGTGTCAGACCTGTCCTGTGTCCTTAGACGTTTGGTTCGAGAAGTGGGGCGTTTGGCACTGGCAATTGCCCACTCACTGCATCACCATGGAAGAGCAAATGAAGGCGCAACGTGACAGGGGAATGTCCATGTTGGCTTGTGCCTTTGTTCACACATTGCTCTCACACCGCTATTAGAAACAAGTGCCTTACTAGTAGTAACAGGTGCCTTACTAG